GTACCAGGCATCAGAAGGCCCAAGCCAAATAATTATATCAATGTGAACAAGGGCAGTTGGAGTGGAGACCCAAAGCCCATCTGTAGACAACTGGACATCCCCTCACAGAAGGGTCACAAGGAAGGGACAAGTCAGCCAGGGTGCAGTATAGCCCCAAGGAAACACACAACATTCCTCTAGTTCTTTAATGTTTCCTGCCCCCCACTACCATGACCCCAGTTCCACCTTACAAATCTGGCTCGACCAGAGCATGTACACTGTTACAGGTACGAGTTCATGACACACGGAATCCAGGACAGATAACCTCTCAAAACAGTAATGGGAGTATTGATACCATGAGATAGGGGGAAGGTAGGGGGAGAAAGGGGGAACTGATCATAATGATCGACATAACCACCCCCCAGGGGGACGAACAACAGAAATGTGGATGAAGGGCGACAGCGGATGGTGTAAGATATGAAAATAATAATCATTTATCAAGGGGTCACGAGGGCAGGAGGGTGGGGGAGGAAGGAGAAATAAGAGGAGCTGATACCAAGGGCTCAAGTAGAAAGAAAATGTTTTGAAAATGATTATGGCAACCTATGTATAAATGTGCTTGACACAATTGATGTATGGATTATTATAAGAGCTGTAAGAGCCCCCAAGAAATTATATATATATAAAACAGCTTGTGAGCAGCCCGATATCAATCAATAAGATAAAATGGGTCAAAGACTCGACTAGACATGTCACTGGAGGACAGTCAAAGGGCCAACAGCAGCAGTGTGCAGTATCGTCAGCCATCAGAGACCCAAACCCAAACGACACTAAGCTCTCCTTCCACTCCCACTAGGACAGCTAAAGTTGAAAATGAGAAAATTTAAACAAAAGATGATAAATGCTGTCAGAGTGTGGGGAAACTGGAACCCTTACTATAGCTGGTGGGAATGCAAAATGGGATAATGGTTGGAAAACATAAACTCCCTGAAAGCAGAAAACCCCAGGGACTCAGGCAGAGACCTGCCACCAGCGTTCACAGTGGCACTCGTCACAACAGCCCAAGGGTGGAAACGCCCTAAATGCTCCTCGCCCGATCTGTGGATGAACAAAAGGGGGTGCAGGCACACTACTCAGCAGAAGGCGAGGTCAAGTCTTGACGCCAGGTGGGGACCGTGTGGATGAACTTGAAGACCCTGTGCTGAGCAAAAGGAGCCCACCACAGAGGGACGAGTGTTGGATGACCTCATGCGTGTAAAACACAAGAAAAGGTAAATGTAGAGAGACCAAAGTTCATCAGTGGATACGGTCAGGGGGCAACCGTGATGGGGAAAGGGGGTACGGGGAGGGGGTTCGGAGAGCAGAAAGGAGGGTTAATAATAGTGAAGGAAAAGTAGAATTGATTAAGGTGAGGATGCACAGCTGATTATTATCATTGCTATCAAGAAATGAAACACAAAATTGGCAAAAGTCGTGTCACAAATAGTTTTATAACTATATAAAATGTGCTTCTTTAAAAACAAACAAACAAAATCTCTCCAAATTCCTTATCCCTTGGAACTAAATATTGGTCTGAGTGGCTAAAAAAAAAGGGAAAGTAAGACTGAAATAGATGTGGTGTCTTCAGTGACAAGCAAGCTCATTTCGAACACATGGAAACATACATTGATAACAGTGACAAAAAGAAGAAAAAGTAGCGACTGAAGCTGCTTTGGGGATTTGGTTCCTTGGTTTGCAGGACTGGGGTCACAGTTTCATGGGACGTCCTATCCCAGTTCATTGGCGAGTAACATGTTCAGCATATCTGTTCTCCCTCCTCGTCTGCTCTTGGAGGCTGAAGAGCTTGCAATCAGCCATCCGAGGCACAGGAACAGGTCTCATACCCCCAGAGGCGCAGAGGAGCCAAGTCAGGCATGAGAGGAGGACGTGAAATGAATGTGTGGGGCTCTGCTTCCAAACTGCCTGCTCTCTCTCGAGATCTAGAGAACTGGACGGTGCCCGGCTGTGATCACTGAACATCTTTTTAGGCCTTTTCTTCCATTTTATTTCATGTTCACGCCACAATAACGACTCCTTTAATTTAAACTGAAAACCATAGAGGATTCTTGAAGGGGTATAAAAGACTGAGGACGGCGTGGAGAGTCAGCGAATCGTCTTGACCAGGCTCGTGAAGGTGCTGGCGGCTTGTAGCTGCAGCTGGTAGGCCATTGGGATCATGGAACAGTTTGATCAAAGATTCCATAAAAGAATCCCGATCAAGAGGAGGAGAATGTGGACAGATTTTCAAATGCTCATGGGCGCTAGACTTTCTAGGTCCATGAAGGTTGCACGAAGCCCTGAAACTACTGCCTAGAGATAAGTCTTTTACCCTTACACTGAAAAATATTCCTTGAACTCATTTGAAAACTGAACAATCATTTCCCCTACGTAGTAAAAGGATGCCTGCTGTGGACTTTACACTCTTTTAAGCGCTATCTATATGAGATCAGATGGACAACAGCCACTCAAAAGACTAGACGGGAAACCACAGGGAAGTTTTACACTGGGCGGGAGGAAGAACTCAGACAAGGAGGATGAGGGTGGCCACCCAACTCGAGAACAACATCCGTGTCACCCGGTTGTACGTGTAGAAACTGTTGAATCGGTGTGTTACTGGGTGTGTTCTCATCGACACTAACATTAAGAAAACATAGAAGGGAAAGGAAGTCACCTTTCAGGGGCTACCGGAAGGGAGTGTGCATCAGTGGCCCTGGGTGAGGCCTGCACTCTGCCTTTTGAACCTGGGTCTCCGGCAAGGCCCCCAGTGTGCGCCCTGTGCCTTTCGGCCTTGCTGTGTGGGCAGGTGTGGGAGGGATTGCTGGGCGGAGCAGTTACCTTTTCTCTCCCCTGAAGAAAGCCTGTGGTTTTCAGACGTTTACAAGGCCTTTTTCCACCCCAGCCGCAGAGCAGCCTGGCCAATCACAGAGGCCTCAGGGTGCCTAAAGGGGAACATCCTGTCTCCTGGGGTGACTCAGTCCTCGCAGAAATCTCACCGTGGGGACCCGAGGAAGCTGTGCGTCACAGGCAGCTGTGGTCACAGGCTGGAGTTTTTTGCAAATGCCCCTCAGGCCCCTGAGCTTGTGAGCCTTGGCTGAGCAAGGCCTCTGCCTTCTATACAGTGTCCAGGTGTCACAGAGCCCTGTCCCTGTGCCAGCGGGGCACACTCGGGTCGGTCGGTCAGTCAGTCAACAAACCCACTCAGTGAGGAGCCAGCTTCCTGGGCTGCTGAGTGAGAGAGAGCCAGGCTGGGCCCCACCCTCTGGCTTCTCCCCTTGCCTCTCCCGGCTTTAGGGGTTCTCACTATTAAATGGGGGCAAGGCCACCTGCTCTTGCCACCACAAGAGAAGTCGTTCTGCTAGGCTGGGCCTGAATCTGATTACTAGTTGACCCCATTGGCTTCTGAGAAGAACAGCTTCAGAACTATCACCCTCCCTCTGTCCTCCCCTCTTCCTCACTGGGGTTACACTTCGCCAACCTCACACGTGGGGTGCCTAGCTGCACAGAGCAGCACTGCTCCGGGGCTTCCCAGCCTGTGACCTTTCTGCAGCCAAGCCAGGCCTGTCCTCAGAGGAGCCTCTGGAGGGAGGGTGGAACCACCAACGTTCCGATTAGTAGTCTAGTGCTTAATCAGCTCGGCCACCCAGGAACATAACTTAAAATGTTTTTAAACTTTAAAATGATTCCTGTGGTTTCCTGTTGTGTGCCATGCACGGCACCTGCTACAGGGATACAGAAATCACTCAGAGTGCTCCAGTCTCGCAGAGGGGTGTACAACCATGCAGCGCTTACACACGGAAGATGCTTTGAACAGGGTTTGCAAGAGGAAGGGATTCCATGCAGAGGGAACAGCACAGGCAAAGGCCCGGCGGCCCAAGCAGCATTAGGAGGAAGGGGAGAGAGCCTCCCACATCAGCCAAAGGCCAGGCTGTTGCAGGCAGCAGGACTTCGGGTGCTGAAAGGTGGGGATTTGGTGAAGGCTCCAACCATAGGGAAGGGGGAAGGGCAACTAGCCCCAGGAGAGCCCCTTTAAATTCAGTCCCCCTGCCACCCCCACCGGCCACTTTCTCCAGTGCCCCTGTAGGCAGGGGCTCATTTTCTCTGGTACCCCACCAGGCTTCTCTGTCCCCTCCTTTGTGGCTCCATCTCTTAGAAGCACCAAGCCTCTGGGTCCTCCCGTGCCCACAGTAGCCAGACAGCCCACCTTGTGCCTCCTCATACCTTCTCAGGCCTCTGCCCACGTGGGAGGACCATCTGTTCACCCCTGGCATCTCCCGGATGAAGAAACTGAGGTGCAGAGAGGTGGAGGGCTTTCAAAAGAGCTCCCTGACAGGAAGTGTCGTCTGGGATTCAACCCAGGGCGCTTTGACACCGAAACCAAGAGTGTCAAGCTAGTGGGGCTGGGAGGGAAAGGAAGGGAGACCTCCCCTGACACCAAGTAGCTAGACCCTCCAGAAAGATCCTGAGCTCAGCTGTCTTCTGAGACCCTGGAGGACACAAAGCTGGTCCCTGAGGGTCTCCTGCCAGCCCTGAGGATGCACAGCCCTGCTCCTCCGCCCGTAGCCCCCAGTCTGTCCTGCCAGCCTGAAAGGTGGGCTGCCAAAGTGGGCCATGCCTTCCTGGGACTCAGTCTGCTGCCTCCTGCCCGCTCCCTGTCCCACATCTTCTCCAAGGCCCTCAGCAGTCTTGGAAGTAGCTCTGCCGCTGCAGTTGGGGACAGCCAGGCCAGAGCGGGGCCAGGCTTGTCCAAGTTCACACGGAGATCAGGCCAGAGCTGGGACGGGAATGCAAACAGGCCCGGGGCTTGACAAAGTAAAAACCCGCCCCCAAGGGGAGTGGGGCTCCAGTAAGCCAAGGGAGACGCCATCCAGCTGCCGTAGCCGTGACTTCCTGGCTGGGCTGGTCCGGCCACCCGACTGTCCCAGCGAGTCCGTGAGTCTTTGGTCCAGCGGGAAGGCCACCCCTGCCCTCCTCCGCGCCCTTACCTCTCCCGGGCCTCCACCACCATCCTGACTCAGGGTCTTTGTTCCCAACCTGGGGAGCCCCCTGCCTCCATCTCGCCCTGGCGTGCCTCCAGGCCGCTCTGCCAGCCAGAGCTGCTCACAGACAAGCATCGCTCCCCACTCTCCCCGCCCCGCCTCCCTGAGGCAGCAGGAAGCGCGCAGCCTGATTTCCTACAAGTGTCTGCGGCAGAGCCAAGCAGGACTGAGGCGCTTAACCCCTTGCAGGCCCTCTGTGGGTATGTGTAGGCCAGGAAAGGAACTTTTCACACCAGGATGTGGGGCCAGCTCGGCTAAGACCTTCTAGGTAAGGTGAGGAGACCGACCTACCAAAGAACGTAGCAGTTTGGCCAAGGCCACGGGGATGCTGACCTGGCGGGAGGCGTCCCTCAACCCAGGCCCCTTCCCCTGACCCCAACCCCGGAACCCTCAGGGGCCAGCTGTGCAGTGTGAGCTCTGACTTGCTGTTTGCTGTGGGTCTCCCCAGCTCCCACCCTCATCTGCCCACCTGGGCAATCCGTCATCTCCTGAGGCTGCAATGATCCACACCACCCCACCTGCTGGCCCTACTCCCAGCTGGGCATTCAGCTACAGGGACTGCTCTGGCTGTAAAATGCCTTCACAGGGCTCATCAGAGGGCAGTGGCAGTGTTCAGACTTATCCCAGTGGGCTCGCCAGCCTCTCCCAGGCTTCTAGTCCATGCATTCACCTGTACCAGGTGCTTTTCAAGCTTGCTAAGCACAAAGTTAGCAGTTCAAAACCACTAGCTGCTTATCGGGAGAGAGATGAGGCTTTCTTCTCCCCTAAAGATTCACAGTCTGTGAAACCCACAGGGCCAGTTTTACCTTGTCCTACAGGGCCGCCAGGAGTCCGAATTAATTCGGTGGCAGCAGAGTTTGGTTTGGAAGACAGGCAAAGCCCTCGCTCCACTTTAGTGGACAGACAGGTATATGACGTGAGGGACAAAGGTGTGAATCGAATAGGGCAGAATAGGCAGCTTTCGACTCACATGAAAAGGCTGGGGCTCACAGAGATGACAGAATCTGTCCCTGGGCATCATCGATCTTAAAATCTGGTGGATTGACCACGTGGTAGCTGGGATGGCCTGGGAGACCAGCCCTGGGGTGGAGAGGCCTGGGTCTGGGCACTTCCTGTCCTGCATTGCAGCAGTCAGGGTGGGGCAGGTGAGGAGGGATGGCTGCCTATGGGCATCATGATTGGCTGCCTGGCTTCTTTGAAGAGGCAGCATTCAACAAGGGACTGGGAAGAAGAGGGGACCAGCCGGGCAGCTGCCAGGAGGTGTGAGAGGCAGAGTGTTCTAGAAGGGCAGGCGCTGGGCTTGCCTTGGGGACAGTCATGCTTTGGTGCCTACGACAGACTCAGACAAAGGGAAAAGGGCAGGGAGCTGGGGCCCGAGAGCAGGGCATAGACTCTGGGTTCCCCACTCAGACCCCTCCCCTGACCTGGAGATCCTGATTCAGGAAAATAAACAGACAAACAAAAGCACTATCCACAAAGCTCCCCAGGTGGCTGAGGATGGGAACTCCCAGTGGAGAGGAGCGAACAGGGCCACTGGAATCCATGTGGATCTGCATTCCCGTCCTCTTCCTACCTCTGTGCCTGGGAAGCATCGCCTCCCTGAGCCTCAGTGTCTGCTGGAAAGTAGGGACAAGAAGGGTAGCCAATCACAGGCCTGCTGTCGAGGTCCAGGGGTGTACAGTTATCAGAGGGCAGGGCATAGGGCATGGCTGTTACTGACCGAACAACTATGATTAGCATCCTCACTCCTTAAGAACAGCATCTGATCCCCTCCAGGGTCTGGGTCTTGCAAAGAGGCAAGTCCCCTTGGATGACTGGAGCAGTTTGTGGCTGATGGATATGCTGGCTGGCTGGCTGGGTGACCAAACACTCCAGAGGCCAGCTTGTGGGTATCTGGCAGAGTCAGGACTAGACCAGGTGCCCTGAACAACCACCCCTCCAGCCCCGCCCCTGCCTTTTTTTTTTCTACATCTGGGTGTTAGAGGGGCTCTATCTGCAGCCCTCTCTCCAATGTGCAGCTGAGCCAAACCCTAATAAAGCTGGTCCCTGCCAGCTCTGGTGACCATGTGGGCCATTGTGTGAGGGGCGGGCTCATCTGACACCCTGTCACTCAGTCACCCTCCCTCCCTGGTCATTAACTCAGGCAGCGCTGCCATCAACGCCAGGTGGCTGCCACTGCTGGGCATGCCCCATGGCCCTGGGTAACCCCAAACCCCTCTTTAGGGGCAGCTGCCTAGCACCAAGAAGAACCCCTTCTTACCACCCTTAAGCCTGACCAGACACCTCCCTGCCTTCCCCTCCTCTTCACCAACAAGCCAACTCTGACTGCCCCACAGCACCCAACCCAAACCCTCCCTCCCACCATCACCAGCTGTACCACCTCCTCCCTAGCTTGGCCCCTCTGCCATCCAGGTGCATAGGCCAGAGTCCACTGTCACTCTGGGCCTGTCCCTCTGCCCTGTGCCTGATAACCAATCTACCCTCAGCTCCTACTGGTCTGGCTTCCTAGCCCTCCTCAGCCTTTGTCCACATCTCTGCTGGACTCCCCTATAGCAGTCTGCAACAAGCCCTTCCCCACTGCACCAGAGGGATCATCCCCAAACAGAAGCTCCTACACTCCGCCTGCTATGCTAAACCCCTCTGCTGGCCGCCCTGCGTGCTGTGCGCTCAGCTCTCCACACCCTCTCTGTCCTCACTCGGCCCCTGGCTGCTCTTTGGGTGGGTGCAACCTGCCCCCGGCATCACTCACTGCACATCGTCTCCCCATGAACCATCATACAACCTGCAGAGCTCAGTTCCAGTAAGCAGCCCCTCCTCAGAGACTCATCTGCGTTCGGAATTCAGCGTTGCTGTGCGTGATTATTTGGCTGAGGTTGCTGTCGGAACTCAGCTGTGACCCTCGCCATCGGATCCCCAGCATGCGGCACAGGCTTGGGTGGACACACAGCAGAGACTCAATGAACACAGTAGGCAACCACCTGGCCCTGGCTCAGTGCCCCTCACAAGAGCCCCCCTAAACAGAGGCCTCAAGAGCCTGAACAACTTGTCCAAAGTCACCAAGCTAGTGAGTGGAGGACAGAGCCGGGTGTGAATGCCTGCGCTTGGTGTTCAGTCCATTGCACCCTTCAAAACGGCTCATATTGCCTGGAGCTTATTGCCAACAAGTTGCGGTTCCTTCAGCCCATGCTCTCTCTGTACAACGAGGCTCTGGTCCCCTGAAGAACCTTTCGGTTTTCCAAAGGGCTTTATCACCCTTCACTCTGCCAGAAGCTTAGGAAAAGCCCTGGGAAGGGGGCAGGGCAGGGGTATGAATGCGTTATCTCCCTGTCATGGAGTCATGCCCATGCATAGTGACCCTATGGGACAGGGTTCCTAAGACTTCGAGATCATGGGTGGCTCCCTTCATGGTCAGGTGAAAGGCCAGACAGTTTGGCCTGGATTCGGGCTCAGAGTGACCTGCTCCCAAGCTAGAGGTCGGCTGCATCGCACAACTGATACTGCAGCCTCTGAGCCTCATCCCCTGGCAGGCTCCTCCTTTTCATGCAGGCAAAGGGGAGCAGGGGACCTGCTGTACGGTTCAAATTCAGGGACCGGGGAACATCAAGGGATCTAAAGTCGATGGTGAGGAGGGAGTAGAATGCCTGGTGGTGTCTGATCCACTGTACAGAAGTCAAGAGGAATTACTGAGAGCTGAATGATGGTGGGCAGGAGCAAAGTAAAAGGAAATAGAGGAAAGAACTAGGAGGCAAAATCTATAAATAGAGGCATACATATAGATATGTATCTATGTAAATATATTCATATAGAGAGATAGGGGTATTGGGCTATGGATATATATATTTATAGGGTAAAGCACTAAAGTAGCAGAGAGACTTTGGGCCTCTACTGAAGTCTTCCCTCAACACAAGAACACTTTGTTCTAATAACATAGCACTGTGTGATGCTCATCTTCCCAACACAATCGCCAAAGACAAAATGGGTGCATAAGCAAATGTGGTGAAGGAAGCGGACAGTGCCCAGCTATTAAAAGATACAGCATCTGGGGTCTTAAAGGTTTGTAGTTAAACAAGCGGCCATCTAGCTGAGAAGCAACAAAGCCCACGTGGAAGAGGCACACCATCCTGTGTGATCATGAGGTGTCCGTGTCAACAAGACCAGGTATCAGAAGATCAAAAACAAACAATTATATCATTGTGAAGGAGAGGGCTTAGAGACCCAAAGCTCATCTGTTGATAAGGGTGCAGTGTAGCGCCGACAAAACACACAACATTCCTCTAGTTCTTTAATGCTTCCTTCCCCCACTGTCATGCTCCATTTCTACCTCACAAATCCTGCTAGATGGGCATATGTACATTGGTACAAATAAGAGCTTTGGACACATGGAATCCAGGATAGATAACCCCTCAGAAACAGTAATGAGAGTAATGATTCCATGTGGGTACGGAAAGGAAGGGAGGGAGGGGGAACTGACAAAAATGATGGATGTATAACCACCCCCCTTGAGGGGGATGAATTACAGAACTGTAGGTGAAGGGACACATTGGATGGTGTAAGATGGGAAATATATATATATATATATATATATATGAAATATAGATATAATTTAGTAAGGGTTCATAAAGGTGGTAGGGTGCGGGAGGGAGGGAATAAAGAGGGGCTGATATCAAGGGGCTCCAGTAGAAAAAATAGTATTTTGAAAATGATGAGGGCAGCATCTGTACAAGTTCACCTCATGTAACTGATTTATGGGTTGTTATACTATCTGTAAGGGCCCCCAATAAAAAGATCAATAGACAAACAGAAAAGCCTGGCATTTACTAATGTCCACGTGTAAACAGTCTCACTCTGGCTGATTTCAAGCTTCCACAGATGTCACTGAACCCAGGATTGGGAAGGGATGTGCACAATCAGCCCACTTGGGCTGACACCCACACATTGTTGCACTTCCCAAAGTAAGCACTAGCTAATCCCAGTAAGAGCTGTGTGTTCTCAGGTGAGTGGCTGAACCTCTCTGGGCCTCA